TGTCCACAACGTATATGTAATGTCCACAACAGTTTATAGCTGAAATTAATAAAAAAATTAAGGGTATAGAAATGAAGCGTTTATACTAAAATAGTTGTACCATCAATCTAACATCCTAAATAGCTCTTTAGTGTGTCTAACCAATTATTCATGAGATTGAATTGAAGGTTTAAATGTTGTGGACATTACGTAATGTCCACAACGAAAATTCAATCATCCCGCCTCCTGTAGAAGAAAATTAATATTTTGCAAATTGGTCATGGTCATGTGATAAGTGTTGGTGATGGCTACCTATTAATATCAAACTGCGAAATGTATTCTTTTTTCCCTTTATGTTCTGTCCTTAGAAAAGGCAATTTAAAAATGTTGAATTTTTCCAAGATAACAAAGGTTAACTTTCATGTCTGATCATGGGTCAGACATTCGCTTTTTTTCAATGTCTCATGTGGAATCGCCCGTAAGATTGTTACAAGATATATTCAAGGGCAAAAAAAAACATTGCAAAATAATTTACGATTAGGGAGTAGCACACTAAGCACGCTACTCAAGATGATTATCAATTATAAGATTGTATATTAAAGGGCAAAAAAACTGTTACAGGGGTTCTTGTCTTGTAACTTGTGGGATTTACTCAGGAAGAGCCGGTACTGGATCAAAATATATTTAATACTAAACTTGAAGAGATGTTGTATACACTGAGTTTAGCTACCAACTATTGAGCGAAATAGCCAACTAAAGAACCAACTAACCTATACAAAATGTCAATCTACCTAATTATAGTGAATGTTTTACAAGTCAGAGTGACAGCAAATTGGCAGGCTACATTGCAATACGATTGGATAGAGTATAAGCTTGACACACTAAAGTTTGATTTACTAATAAGATGTTCAGCCAAGGCTGAGAGAGAAAAGGCTATGGCCCGATATAGTTTTTAAGTTAAATTTAAAGATGAAATTAAGACAGAAGATAGCTCTAACAGAGAACTAACTTTCTATCAAGTTATATTATAAAGATACACAAAATGAACGATGCTACAAGGCTCCAAACCAACGAAGGGCGTTTTGGGGTACGCATTGAGGTGTAGGGTTACAAGGGTAGAGTCTATCTGAAATTGGTGTAACATTACAGTGCTATAAGACACGTGGGGGTATCCTAGATGAAAATGTGGAAACTGAAATAAGGTGCCTTGTAGTCTCGTTATACTGTAAAACCTATAGTTCTTATCTGACAGCTTAATGGAATATTCGAAATTAAATAGAAGAAATTAAAAGGAAGTGACAACTGAGAGTCACAAGCTGTAACTAGTCTTTAGCTTAGTTAGGGGYACACAACGCTAAGCAAGACAGTGTAGAAAAACCTATGAAAATCATAACCTAAGTTATGTTCGAGATAAATGTATTGGAATACTAGTAAGCGTTAAACAGCTAATCGAAACGATGTCTACAAAACAGATGTCATATTTTGTATCTAATCAAGATTATATCAAAATGAATATAAGTTCTATTAACACAAGAACAGGTGGAACTTTTATGGTAGCCTAGGGAGTAACTTACTAGAAAACCTTCATGAATATTGATTTGCTAATTTTGTCTTATAACAAAACATTAGAAAAATAATTTACAATTAAAGAGTAGCACAAATTTAKAATAACTAGTTTTACGRGTTTTACGAGTTTGAGCTTATAAAAAGAGCTACCCCTAAGTAGAGTGTCGCATTACATTACACTTGTACGACGAATAAAGATCCTACCATTTGGCGTTCTTATTGACGACGTTTAGTGGAGAAACCGGGTAGTTTCCAGTAAGTATAACGGCTATCGTTGGCAACTGTTAACGCTAACATAAGGGAATCCATACAAAAGACTAGCTCAAATCAGAAAAGCACATCAGCTTTAGGCAGAAACCATGCAGTTTTCTCAGAAAATGAATAAGAAGCGCAAGAGTTTTTAGATCAATTTAACTTAATCTTTTGCTGATTTGCACGGATGGGACGACAAACAAAAGATTACTGCTTTTACTTGAGTTTGAATGATTCAGCAAGGACTCGGTATTTTACCTTAGAAGCCACATTTAACGAATTTGAAAGTTTAACTAAATTGTTTAAAGAGCGTTTTCTTTCTCTCTCTTTCAAGACAAGAATTGCATGCTATGAARCAAAAACCTAATAAAGTGTAGCAGACTATAGCGCCGATATTCTAAAACGATGTCAGCCATTAGGGATACCAAGGAAAGAGTATTTGCATATTTTCACTAACGGACTACTCCMTGACTTCTGAAATTTCACAATTTGGTCTCAACCTAAGAGTTTTGAAGATGCCGTAGAGGCAGCAAAAGTAAGATCTAGATCTACTATTCTACTATTCAGCCAGCCACAGTATCAAGTATTAGCTCTCAGCAAATGCAGAATTTCAAGGAAGAAATGTTAGGTGCACTTTGTTCTAAAGTAACTACACAAATCCAATGCAAATTGCAGAAATGATTTCATAGAGTGCAAACAATATATCTGTGAAACACTAGCTAAAACTATTTTTTACTAAATTTKACTAAATTAGTCTCTTGTTAATTTAGTGTGGTTACTGGGCCGTAGAAGCGTGTTGTAAAAACAAATCTAAAATAACAACAAAACACAAGTAAAATGATTTCAGAGCCTTTATTCCTTTGTGCTGATGCCGCAAAAACGACAAAAGACACAATCTAATCTAAAAAAGAAATAACTACAATACACAAGAAAACGCGTTTAAGAATGTTTATTTATTTGCGCTGCTGCAAAATCAACACAAGACTCATCTAAAGCTAAAATAACCACACAATACGCAAGAAAACGCGTTTAAGAGTCTTTATTTATTTGCACTGCTGCAAAATCAAGACACAAGACACATCTAAAGCTAAAATAACCACGCAATACGCAAGAAAACGCGTTTAAGAGTCTTTCTTTATTTGCGCTGCTGCAAAATCAACACAAGACACGTCTAAAGCTAAAATAACCACACAATACGAAAGAAAACGCATTTAAGATTCTTTATTCTCAGCGTCCGCGCAGCAAATCAAGACAGAAGACTTTGTTAGGTGAAAGTAAAAAGTGACCAATATCAAGACCCAGTACACAAATGAATGTTTTCTAACGAGTTTATTGTAAAGGTCTAAGCTAAAAATCAAGACAAGACGCACTTTTAATGTAAAGACTCGAAAAATATCTGTAAACAACCTGTTTTCGAACGAATTCTATCGCTCAAAGCTCAGCGTTATTTGACGTACTTGACACGAACCAACAGCGCCCTTTTAATATCTTTGCTTGATGCTCAAAATAAACCGCAAAAGGAGTTTATCGCTTCTACGAAAAAGTTTGTGAGATACGTACCTTTTTAGCATGAGACTTTGGTTCTAATTCCAGCAGCATTTGTAACGGTTATAAGTGTAGCTGGCTAGTCGAGCTCCAAGGACGACGTGTGCATAAACGCACGTGCACTTCATCTCAACTAAACTGCACGTGCACACTAAATTTAGTATATTTATACGCTTCGACTATATTTCACTAAATTTTACTAGAAAGGATTTCGTATGAGTGGGACACCGTTACCGCACGGTTACCGCACAGTTACCGCACCTGGCCTGCAGAATTTTGGTGAACCAATGGGGCACTAGAATTTGGTTACAGTACGATTACGGACACAGTTCAGTACCGTCCGTTTCCCACTCATACGAAATCCGCTCTAAATTTCACTATTTTAATTTAGTGTTGCACGGATATATTGCTTGCACTCTATATAGATACTGAGAAAATCACATCTTTGCCTGTCATCATAAAACTTGTACAACATCACTGTAAATGATCTAATCAATGTTTTGTCACTGATATTGCTACGATGTTCATTGAGCAGTGTCGCATCCGTTTCAAAACAAAACTGATCGCATTTTGTTATTGATTGTTAGGTGTACATTTYCAGTCATTACCATGTTCTGTAAGACTGGTTTGATAATGTTTGCAGCGCTTGCAATTGCAATTACAAGTAAGTAAAATAAAAATAAAACTATTGCTATTATTTCATAATAAATCCATACCTGCATGAGTTTTCAATGAGTCAAATTTATGGACCGTTATAGTTTTAGTTCAAAAAAGTAAAAATCCATCCCTACTTTTGATCTCATACTTAAAGATGCCCTACCACTACACATGGACTATGCAAGTGAAATTTTGTTGTTATCTTTTTCAGTCACTTATGCAAAACACATTGAAATCCAAAGAAATGAAGCCAAATCATTCCTTCAGAGTGAAGATCTTTCACGACAAAAGCGATTGTTTGGTGGTTTTTCTGATATATTAAAGACGCAGAGCGGGATTGTCTCCTCTAATAAATCTTATGGTAGACAAAGAATGAAAAAAACAAACATGTGACTAAACAAAATCTCCATATCACACTTAACGTATCTTGCAAATATTCCATTATACAAAATCTGAATAAAAATTGACCATTGCAACAAATCAAAATATAAATGCTATTTACTGTATTAACATATCCAGAATTATATTGCGAAGGAAATTGAAGGGGGATCCAGRGGAGAGTCGGAGGSTCAGGACCCCTTGTTAAATCCAAGTGCAAATGTTTTTTCATCAACTCTTTCCKGTCCGCTTTAAGAATTTTCTAAAAATTGTAAGTTTCCGAGATCGCAAATGAAGACAACCAAATGTACTTCATGTCAACAGCTAGTACCAAAACTCTATCTTAGAGTTGAAATCATTTCACATCGGGCGCGATATYTGGGCAAAAAGGACCCCTGAAAAATAGGAATGTCTAAATTTCGACTTTTTGCTGCACCGGATAAGGGTGGGAATCACGTCTCTTCGTCTTCAGTTTTAGAATCGAAATCATCTTTTTCAAATCGAAATTCCAGGTTTTTTTGAAATCGGCCACTCCAGGTCTTTAGAATTTTTGCATTTTTGTTTGGTAGAAGTCTCCGCAGATCAAGCCACAGGCCCCTTTTTGAGACCCAGCACAGAAAACACAGATTTCTCCCTTGCGCGTTCGAACTGCATCATGGGAGTAAGGTTCAAACTTGACAGGGAGCACCCAACGGTCTTGTTTTCACACACTGGCAACCCAAGCTGCTCATTAAATAATATTTATATGTGACTCCTATAAAATGACTCACCTTGATCGATAACTTGTTGTATCTTTTATCATTTGGCCGTTAAGAAGCCGTTAAGAAGCGATTTTACCTGGTTTTCGAATTTTCTTTCCCCCACCTATAAAAAATGACAAGGCCGAATACTCATTTCGCCAACGGACTCAACTTCGAGGTCAATAAATCCCTGAAAAAAATAAAGCCAAAATAAAGAGCAGCAAGTTTTCATTTTGTTTCTTTTGATTGTTACTTTGTAGTTAGGCCCGTCTCTCAACACAAAAGTTTCTATTTTATTCTTACGATTATTACACTGTAATGTATAGGGGGATCTGTCTACAGTGGCAAGCTTGCCATTTCATTCTTTCTACTTAATATTGGGGTTGAAATTGCACGCGTCTGTAAATAGCTTCAAGAATTCCATTTGATTTTTAAACACTTTTTTAATTGCCTTAGTTCATTATGACGTCACATCAAAACATTCTATTGTTTTAACGCTAAGGNTGGGCAAAAAGGACCCCTGAAAAATAGGAATGTCTAAATTTCGACTTTTTGCTGCACCGGATAAGGGTGGGAATCACGTCTCTTCGTCTTCAGTTTTAGAATCGAAATCATCTTTTTCAAATCGAAATTCCAGGTTTTTTTGAAATCGGCCACTCCAGGTCTTTAGAATTTTTGCATTTTTGTTTGGTAGAAGTCTCCGCAGATCAAGCCACAGGCCCCTTTTTRAGACCCAKCACAGAAAACACAGATTTCTCCCTTGCGCGTTCGAACTGCATCATGGGAGTAAGGTTCAAACTTGACARGGAGCACCCAACGGTCTTGTTTTCACACACTGGCAACCCAAGCTGCTCATTAAATAATATTTATATGTGACTCCTATAAAATGACTCACCTTGATCGATAACTTGTTGTATCTTTTATCATTTGGCCGTTAAGAAGCCGTTAAGAAGCGATTTTACCTGGTTTTCGAATTTTCTTTCCCCCACCTATAAAAAATGACAAGGCCGAACACTCATTTCGCCAACGGACTCAACTTCGAGGTCAATAAATCCCTGAAAAAAATAAAGCCAAAATAAAGAGCAGCAAGTTTTCATTTTGTTTCTTTTGATTGTTACTTTGTAGTTAGGCCCGTCTCTCAACACAAAAGTTTCTATTTTATTCTTACGATTATTACACTGTAATGTATAGGGGGATCTGTCTACAGTGGCAAGCTTGCCATTTCATTCTTTCTACTTAATATTGGGGTTGAAATTGCACGCGTCTGTAAATAGCTTCAAGAATTCCATTTGATTTTTAAACACTTTTTTAATTGCCTTAGTTCATTATGACGTCACATCAAAACATTCTATTGTTTTAACGCTAAGGATTATGGTCGCCAGAAGGGATCAGAGTGACTGCATATCAAATAAAATGTACATGAACAATCATAAATACATGATATATATCAAAACACGATTCATTGAAGTTCTACTTTAGTAGACAATATAAATGAGTCCAAATTTCC